CCATTAGATTAGGTATGTATGTACAAGGACACTGACTCAACAGGCACGATCAATAGCCAAGTTAGATGACCTCGAGTACAGTTGTGTGTATAACAGGCTGTCAGATGTGGCTATCATGCTTAGCTGATGCCTTTATTTTTACCAGTCGGCATATAAATTGTACTGATGTTTACTGTAGCTAGCGAAGACAAGCGGGATCGCGTATAGTTAACGGTATACAAGACCGTCACTGACCATCGGATTATGCTACTCTGCATAGGTGCAGTCTCATTATCAACGTTGCACATAAACGCGGGCCTAGCATTTACAAAAAGTATTCGAGATGAGTGAAAACTAGTAGAGATACGAGTACAAGGGGCCGTCGTTGCTCATTAAATTGGGCTGCCGCGCATATGTGGGGAACCCTAGTTAGCGTCGCACATAGACACGGATTCTGCGGCTACAACAGGTAGTCGAGGAGGCTGCCGTCATCGTGGTGACCGCTTCATGATTGGTGGTCACCATCTATAGAACGTCATAGTTGTGATAGGAAGGACGCCCACAGCATTATGGCAGTGCTGTATTATCTACACGCTGGCTATGCATCTCTGGGAAAGAGGATCACCCACCGGTGTCCCTCGCACTGCCATTGCAAGTTTGTGCTGTTATCTAACTTTCTTGCATTTATGGAACACGAGATCCATGGGGGAAATGTGTTGTGAGCAGGTTCACCAAACAAAAATATCCCATTGGTTAAATCTGACGTGTCTAAAGCAAAGACACGCCTGCGACTGATCCTATAGGGTGGCATTTGTATTAAATACTCTTAAGATGTAATTTTTATTCTTCAGGAACACCGCGGAACGCCAAAATATGCTAACGTGCGATTCCCCGTTTTATGTCACTTAAACCGGCAAAAAATCCAAATCAGCGATGGTCAAGGACCTTGACATTTCACTCACTTAAACAAAATGCTATGTCCAACATGTCACGGGAAGGTGCAAATTGACTAGACTAACTTCACATAAAAATGGCAACTTTGAAAACCCTATAGTTTCATCGAACTCAATTTGGGCGTGTCAATAGCCCGCGGCTCGAATGCCTGTGCCACCAGCTTAATTTGAATGTGGCAAATACTGATGGAAGTGCCATTGTTAACACAAGACATCAATGACAGTAAAGTCACGTGCCCGGCCAACAATATAAGATACATCATCGCAGCTACTTAGGTTCTGAGTGAAGCTCTCTTCTCGCCTATAGTAAGATCTCGCAAGTTAGATACTAAAAATGGTTGTCCCTACCTATGTTCTCCCAACAGAATTGTCCTTACGGAGTTGAAGATCACGTGAGTTGCATCACATGGGCTCTAATTGAGGAAATTTAAAAAGCTTAGTAACCCGTCTTCGTTAATTTGCCTCATCACCTGGTGTGGTTGAGGGCGAAAACACCCAAAAGGACAGCTCTCATTATTACCCGCTATGCAAAAGACCTTGTGTTTGGGCCTTGCATGGTAAAACACTTTATCATTGCACCCACATTACAGCGTTCTTGGGTAAGCCCACCGCATTCAAAGTCTCCTATACTGAGGTTCTCCGTGCACCTCAAACGGGTCTCCTCCATTCGGTTGTTAAACGGGTGCCAGTTTCTAAATTGTGTACCGACCTGAACTTCTTCCGCCATGTGGGTGGGCTGCCTCCTTTGTCCGTCGAGGAAATCTAATGAAAACCAAAACGAAGCCATATTAGTCTCAAGCCAGTGTGCGTAATACAGAAAGACTGGGATCCAGAAGCGTTACCTCGGTGTCGCGGGACTTCTAGCGATGTGGCTTATTTGGTATCGCATCTGTTCAGTAACAGATTGATGCCAAAGGGTGCGACGACACTTCCTGCATAATGAAACTTGGAAACAATCGCTATTTAGTAAAAAGTGTGGAAAGTCACAGCCATGACTTTGGCCCCAAAACTAGCTACACCTCACAACTGTTGCTTACGTGGAATGGCGTTCGTTTGTGAGTATCTACGCTCATGCGCGACTTCTTTGTGATGGATGGAACGGCGATAATTTTACGACAAAAAGCGCATTTTAGCATATATTGGCGCAAACATTGCAAATCCGCATTGGCCTTCCGATAAGCACCCCGTGATGGGAGGTAGAGCCAACTTGGCGGAGGTAACCGAGAGAAGCGGCACACCATTTTGGATCTTTTGCCCCGGATGAATTATTAGAGTGCGGTTGCTAAAACGTACCAGTTTTTGCGCTGAAGACCTGCGTAGGATTTTTTTACTCTTCTCTACTGAGCTATGATCATATCAGAATTGTTTTGCTATGTGGGTATGGGGAAGCTGGTGGGTACATGTAACACCCCCCTTGACTCTTCCAACGATGGCTAGCCATTGCCAAAAAGTCGATGAACTCGAGTCTGCAGGCTGTCGGGGCAATTTATTTTGAGATGCTCCACCAAGGTATATGCTGTTCATCTATTCACATCGCTGTACTATATCCCCTAGCGTTGTGGCACGAGAAATGACCACGGCACTATTGGAAACTTGTAAAATGGAGAATATTCACCACGCCATATGAACAATGGATGGACACGCGGTTGCCGTACTGAATACCGGAAGATACATTTGCAAGCTCCAAGGTGTGTGAATATAATATAAGGTTCAAAGGAATCGAGAAATCAAAACTGAAATAACTGTAGCAGGGCAACCTACATTACCGGTTGACCACTTGTCCACGCTTAAGGGGACCTTGGGGATCGGTTTGCTCCTTGTCTTACTCTGAAATTTCAAGCAAATCGTAGAATGTCCGCCTCTCAGTTCTCCGCAGTCAACCACAGCGCATCTCCAATCATGTACCATTCCCCATAACTGGACACAGGGTTCCTAGACGCCGGGAAAAATTACCCGTGTAGAAACCACTTAAATTCCCAACACGATCTGTTCTTTTTCTTTATTTTCGCTCGAGTTTGAAGCAGCTTCGTGGTCGCTAGTTTTATCCAACCGGCGTCCACTCAAGGAAAATGTTCATCCAACATCTCCGTCGTCACGGAGCAATACGCAACGCTGTGAAACCGATGTTTTCTACCAACGAAAGTGTACATTTTCCATTTGAGTTTGGAACCTGGAGTTTTAATGTACAGATGTTTGTGCCATTGTGGTCTCCATCTGCTTGTGTTCTTCAAAGGTGATGTGATGTGAAATTTACCTTACTATCTGATCCGAGCCTTTCTTACCGGCCAAATGAGATGCACCCAGATCCAGTGATGGAACATTCGCCTTCTCCTCATCTTTCGCGGAATGAACTTCCTCCAATTGGGGGTAGATGATGGGCCGGTACGACCCTTGAACTAGTAGACCGATGAGTATTACCTCCACCCCTTGCAAGTGTGTGAAGAAAATGATGGATAAACCTGTGCGATTCATTTATTCTCCTGGTGGTTTGTTGCGATGTGTCCAATAGGTTTTTATTTCGACCCGCTTTCTTGCAGTCAACCTAACTCACAATTTTCCGTCGACTCTACGGCCGACGAAAGCAGAGATGCATCGCACTTTAGTGGACTTTGCGAGGACACTCGAGGTGAGCACGCAAGACACACTTGTGGACTAGTTGGAAGCTTTCAGTATTCTCACCCCACGGTTCCATCGGCCAACCTGGTTGATATAAGGGCGGGATCCTCGGGTAAGGTTACTCGGCATGTTCCCCCGAAAAATCAGATCACCAGTGCCGTAACCACAGGGCATATTATTGGTTTACTCCGTTTATCAATTTTATTGACATACTTATATCACATCTCCTCGAGATGATTTTTGATGATCGGAAGAGATGCTCCAGGAATTCACCGTACCCCAAAATAACTAGGAACATTTACCCAACTATTTCGAAACAAACCACAACAACTCGAGACNGGCATGTTCCCCCGAAAAATCAGATCACCAGTGCCGTAACCACGGGGCATATTATTGGTTTACTCCGTTTATCAATTTTATTGATATACTTATATCACATCTCCTCGAGATGATTTTTGATGATCGGAAAAGATGCTCCAGGAATTCACCGTACCCCAAAATAACTAGGAACATTTACCCAACTATTTCGAAACAAACCACAACAACTCGAGACCCTACTCATCAACACATATTCTTTAGTAAACCGGTATGATAGTCTTCTTCCTGTCTTCAATCAACGGAAATCAAACCAATTCTCTTACTAATCACAGCAGGCAACTTAAAATCCTGATCACGCCGAATACTATTTCTTGTTAGTGAGTATTCATTCTCAACGTAAGTACATCAGCATAGTCCAACCATCCATTACGCTTTCCCGTTCACGGATCGACACAATGATTTGCTAGCTTTGTACCGTACAAGGATCTAAGTATGCGTGGTCAATAAAATATACAAAGTATTCATTACGTAAGTACATCAGCATAGTCCAACCATCCATTACGCTTTCCCGTTCACGGATCGACACAATGATTTGCTAGCTTTGTATGTACCGGATATTCTCATAGTTCGAGTGTTAGAAGTAAATTCCACGGTAGGCATTTATCGCAGCTGAAAATTGTCACAAGGAGTTATTGTGACGTTACGTTC